TATATATATATATATATATATATATATATGGGTTTTTGTGCGTAAGTCCGTGACCAATCATCTTTATTATTATAGGTTGACTTTTTTTAGTGATTTATTTTTCTCATAAAGTATTATCCATTTTTTTACGCCCGCCGCTAAACGTTGATCGTAATTGTACTGTCATTAACACTAATTATACTGTCACTAACAGTACATTAACATAGTTATACTATCGTTGACAGTGTTGGGAAGCACGTGTATGTAGCCGAAGATAAAAATTTTATATGAAAAACAAGTTTTATCATATAAACACTTACTCGATAATATCAATTAATTGCGTACCTTAATGCTTCCAGCGAAAATTAAAATACAACATGCATATAATTAGTTCGATAATTAAATCACGTAACATGCTCGCATTAAATCACGAATTCATCACAAGCAATTTCACGAAATCATTCAAATAAATCCATACTGCGAATATGAACGTTTAATTTAACCTAATTAAATTAAAATCTAATTATAACGGATCCGAAAGATTATCTCTCGAAGCGTGAGACGAACTTTCGGATTGACGCAAACTGCCACGAAAACCAATCCTTGCAGTTGGGAGAAGCGGCGAGCGACGGCGGCGGACGCGCTGATGAGCGACGACGGTGTTTCGGCAGATCGACTCATTTGTCTTCCTTCTCTCGGATTTCACCTTGTATACCGAGTTCAACTTATACGTGGCACTAGATATGCAAAATTCAGAATAATACGGAAGAATAATTAAAAGGAAATACCACCGAAGGGTTAGACGACGCGTGGGCGCTGAATTCCAGCAACGACGGCGGCGACGGCGCGGCGGAGATGGGCAGCGGACGTCAGTTGAGCAGCTAGGGTTAGGGTTGTGTATTTTTGTGTAAATATAATCTTATATTTATAGTGTCTTGTATAAAAGCCCTAACCGGCTATTTATAGTGTCTTGTATAAAAGCCCTAACGGGCTTAAGTTGGACCGGACCCAACATCTTAAGTTCGTTAGTCTTTCTTCTCTCGTTTCTCACAACTCAATGATTCGAAAATTATAACAATTATACTTTCGAAATCATTGAAACGTCCTCGTCATTACGAATGTCAATTCTCGATTTTCAATTTCTAAAAGTGGAAATCCTAATTCAATGGACGTTCTAAATTTGAAACTTCCCAATTTAGAAAGTTCACTAAGATGTTCGCCTAGTTCTTTCCTTTTCTTATTCTCATTCATAATTTCAAATTACGAATGTTGGACACAATCATATTGACTTCCAATTATGCAAAGATTAAACATCTTTATCTTTGACCGTTTATTCAAAGAACTCGAGTGCACGAGCAGTGTGACCCTCGATGTTCAGGTGTAAGCTAGCCGTAGGTCCACAACTCTTTGTGGTTTAAACTCGTCCCTAGAGTTATAATTAAGATGAAGCTCGTTTCAACTTAATCACCAAACGAATCAAGATTGGCGTCTAGCAACTACGCGTCATGATTCCCTAGATACAAATGAAGTGCCTACAAGAATCATGTGATATAGTTAACGTACAATACGATCCCTTTGATTCATATGTCCTGATTGAACTAGATGCATTGGTTTGTGGAGACATCCTTTGTAGTTCAATAAATGTGCGATCGTTCTAGTGTTGTAATCGGTACGTGCATGACTTAGAGAATTGAATTCCCTAATCATCACTTAGTCAGCTCTAGCCAGAGACTTAAAGATTACAAACTATGATAAGACACGGGACATCCAAGACTATTCTAGTAATTGAATCCCCGACTACAATACACATACCTCCCACTAGATTTCGGAGCGCACGAACACTGGCCCTTGGGGCGGTCCTCGGTGGAACTGAGGGACACGTCACGATACAGCTGGTCCTCTAGTGAAGTCACCGTGATGTCTAGGTCTTAAGGACTAATGGGGTACAACTATATCATAGAGATCTCTACTCGATTATTGAGAACCACTTAGAGATTTCTAGGATGAGGGAGTTCAGTGAACTCGTCAACTCACTCGCCCAATCCCACCAAAACTTGGAGACCCGGGTAAGTTTACAATTTCAGTCGCGATCGGAGGTAAGTTCTTTGCAAAATCTCTCATAGATTTAGGAGCTAGTAATAATCTCATGCCTTTCTGGGTTTTTCAAAGTTTGGGATTAGGAGATATAAAATTGGTATATGTGACTTTATAGTTAGCGGATAGATCACTCATATACCCACAAGGAATAGTAGAGGATGTGTTATTCAAAGTAGATGAATTCATCTTTCCTGCAGATTTTGTAAATCTTGATATGGAAGAATATAAAGAAATTCCTTTGATTTTGGGGAGAAATTTTTTGAGAACGGGTAGAACTATAATTGATATGTATAATGGTGTTTTATCTATGTCTTTGGGATATGAAACGATTAAACTTGATGTTTTCCATACAATGAAGCATCCTCGAGAGGTTGATGAATGTTTGGCGTTTGATGTGTTAGATCAATTGAATTTTGATTTTATTGAACCGCTAATAGTGGATTGGTTGGAAGCATCTTTGATTGCAAGAACATCAACTGAGGAAGAAACATTGATTGAACAACTATGTTGGTTGGATTCGGCAAAGCCTTTGTCAAAGCCACGGCTTGAAAGTTTGGAGACGAAACTCCCACTCTCTGTCAATTTTAAACCTTCAGTGATCGAACCTCCAAAACTTGAGCTTAACGTTTTACCTTCTCATCTAAAATATGTGTACCTTGGAGCTCATGATACCTTACCCATTATTATTTCTGCGTCTTTGACAGGTTTACAGGAAGAAAGGCTTTTGGATGTATTTCGAGAGCACAAGCTAGCACTTGGGTGGACAATTTCCGACATCAAAGGCATTAGTCCAACTTTTTGCATGCATAAGATCATCTTGGAGGAGGGCCATAAATCTTCAGTTGAGCAGCACAGGCGATTAAACCCCATCAAGAAGGAAATTGTGAAGAATGAAATCAAGTGGTTAGACGCATGTATTATTTTTCCTATCTCCGATAGTGCGTGGGTTAGTCCGGTACCATGTGTACCTAAGAAGGGGAGGTGACTTTTATAAAAAAACGAAAAAATGAATTAATCCATTATAGGATAGTAAGGGGTTGGCGAATATAAAAAATTGAACAAGGCCACTCGAAAAGACCACCTCCCCTTGCCCTTTTATTGATCAAATGCTTGATTGGCTAGCTTGTCAAGAATTTTATTATTTTTTAGATGGGTATTCCGGTTATAACCAAATCGCCATAGCTCCCGAGGACCAAGACAAAACCACTTTTACTTGTCCCTTTGGTACTTTTGCCTTTAGACATATGCCCTTCGGTTTATGCAATGCTCCTGCCCCTTTTCAATGTTGTATGATGGCAATTTTCACAGACATGGTTGAATGTAGTCTCGAGATATTTATGGATGATTTTTCCATTTTCGATGATACGTATGACACTTGTCTCCAAATACTGGCTAAGGTTCTGCGTAGGTGTGAAGAGACAAATTTAGTGCTCAACTGGGAAAAATGTCACTTTATGGTCAAGAAGGGATTGTGCTAGGACACCAGGTGTCAAAGAAAGGTTTAGAGGTCGATCGAGCCAAAATCGAAACAAACGAGAAATTACCGCTACCAATTTCAGTAAAGGGAATTCGTAGTTGTTTGGGACATGCATGTTTCTATAGGCGGTTCATCAAAGATTTTTCTAAGGTTGCCAAACCATTGTGCAATTTGTTGGAGAAGGACGTCAGATTTGACTTAAATGAGGAATGCCTCAAAGCCTTAGACGAATTGAAAACAAGGTTAGTAACCGCACCTATTATTGTTGTACCTGATTGGAATGAGCCGTTTAAACTTATGTGTGATGCCAGTGATTATGTTGTAGGTGCAGTGTTGGGCCAAAGAAAGAGTAAAATTTTTCATTCAATTTACTACTCTAGTAAAACTCTAAACGATGCGCAATTGAACTATACCACTACTGAAAAAGAGTTGCTAGTAGTTGTTTTTGCATTCGAAAATTTTAGATAATATCTCATAGGCATTAAGGTCATTGTCTTTACAGATCATTCAGCCTTGAAATATTTGATAGAAAAAAAAGAGGCAAAACCTAGACTTATTAGATGGGTCTTACTGCTGCAAGAATTTGACTTGGAAATTCGTGACCGTAAGGGTAGCAAGAACCAAGTAGTCGATCATTTATCTAGGCTAGAAACGGAACTAAAAGATAAAATTTGCATTAACGAAAACTTTCCAAATGAACAATTACTTTTTGTGGATAATCAAGAAGTACCATGGTATGCTGATTTTGTGAATATTTAGTTAACCATGTACTTCCACCTGAGCTCACTTTTCATCAACGAAAAAAGTTTTTAAAATGATGTGGATTTCTACTTTTGGGAAGAACCCTTTTTGTTTAGACAATGCAGCGATTTAGTCATTCGAATCTGTGAACCGAAAAACGAGCAAAGAGATATACTTTTTCATTGCCATGGCTCGGACTATGTGGGGCATTATGGAGGTGAGCGAACAACGAGGAAGGTACTTCAGTCAGGTTTCTTCTGGCCAACTCAATTTAATGATTGCTATAAATTTGTATCGCGTTGCGATAGATGCCAGCGGGTGGGTAATATTTCTCGGAGGCACGAACTCCCATTAAATACAATGATCGAAGTAGAAACCTTCGATGTATGGGGAACAGATTTTATGGGACCTTTTGTCCCATCATTCAATAACCTATACATCTTAGTGGCTGTCGATTATATATCTAAATGGGTTGAGGAAGCCGTCTTTCCTACTAATGATTCTACCGTGGTTTTTGCTTTCTTGCAAAAGACATATATTCACTCGATTTGGAACACCGCGAGCAATTATTAGTGATGGAGGCACTCACTTTTGCAACAAACAATTCGAGGCACTCTTGGCCAAGTATGGTGTAAAGCATAAGGTCGCATTGGCCTATCACCCACAGAAGAACGGGCAAGCCGATGTTACAAATCGTGAAATAAAAAATATCCTCGAAAAAGTTGTGAGTCCCACCCGGAAAGATTGGTCGAGAAAATCAGACGATGCACTTTGGGCATATCGTACAACTTACAAAACTCCACTTGGCATGACACCGTTTTGATTGATTTATGGATATACATGTCTTCTACAGGTTGAATTGGAGCATAATGCGTTTTGGGCGATTAAGAAGCTAAATTTTGATCTTGAGGCATGCAAGGAGAAACGAATGATGCAACTCAACGAGCTCGATGAATTGCGGTTGAATGCCTATGAAAGCAATCATGTATACAAAGAAAAAACTAAGAGATGGCACGATAATAAAATATTGCATCGCGAATTTCACAAGGGTCAATTGGTACTACTTTCCAACGCCCGTCTCAAGTCATTTCCGGGAAAACTCAAGTCAAGATGGTCCGGACCGTTTACTATACTCGAAGTATTTCCGCATGGCGCAGTCGAGTTATTGGATTTCGAAACCATAAAATCTTTCATAGTCAATGGGCAGCGCCTCAAGCATTATTGGGGAGGAGAATTCAATCGCCAAGTGACTCCGGTCACTTTAGCTTGAGCAAAGAAGCAGACAAGTCTGGCCGAGATTTTATTGCTTTTTTTTTTAAGTTTGTTAGTTTTTTTTTTGATTTTTTTTATTGAAGCGTGCAAACTAATGAACTAAGCATTGTTTTTTATTTTCAGGAGGAAAGACGCAATTTGGATTACCACACGGCCGTCCCAAAATTGACCTTTAATCTCACACGGTCGTGTGGAAAGTAGAAAAAACTACTGTATAATTTTTGCAATTCACACGGCCGCATGATAATTGAACTGGAAACTCGTACGGCCGTCTGGAAAATATGGGAAGCTATTGCCCAATTTTCACTTTTCGCATGGCCGCGCTAAAATTGAGCTATAATCTCACAAGGCCGTGTGGAAAGCAGGAACAACTACTGCCCAAAATTAGCATTTCGCACGGCCGTCCAAAAATCAGTACTTTTATCCGGACGGTCGTGCCGGTTCAAAAGAGAATCTAAAACCCGTGTTTTGGCACGGCCGTGCGAAAACAATTCAAAAACTCGCACGACCGTGTGAAACGTGTTGGGAATTGGGCATGTGTACGCATCGAAAAACAAAAAAAATAAATGAAAAAGGATTTCATTCATATAAACACGTACTCGATATAAGCAATTAATTACGTACCTTAACGCTTCCAGCGAAATTTAAATTACAACATACATATATAATTCGTTAATTAAAACATATAGCATGCTCGCAATGAATCATAATATTCATATATATATTTTCATGAAAAATGATCAAGCAAAAACATAAAAAACCAATTTCATAAAAACATACGATGTTTAATTTAATCTAATTAAATTAAAACCTAGTACTTAATGGATCCGAAAAGTTACCTCTTGAAGCGTTAGGAGAACTCTCGGATTGAAGCAAACTGCCACGGAAACCAATCCGTGCAATCGGGAGGAGCGGCGGCGAAGCAGCGGTTGCGGACGCGCGGATCAGCGGCGGCGCGTGAAGTTCACGCGCTGTCTTCGGGCGGCGCGTGAGGGCGCGTGCGTCAGTGGTTCGCGGCGGCATATCGGCAGATAGAATCCTTTGTCTTCCTCCTCTCGGATTTCACCTCATATACCAAGTTCTACTGAATACGTGGCACTAGACACGCAAAAGTTAGAATTAACGGAAGAATAAATAAAATAAGTATCAAACTACCGAAGATAATCGGCGCGTGGGCACCGATTCTGCCGGTGGAGGATGGCCGTGGACTTGACGAACGAGCGGCTAGGGTTTGTGGTGCGTGTTGTTGTGTTTGTGCAAGACCTACAAATCTTGTCTTTGTAGTGTCTTGTATAAAAGCCCTAACGGGGTTAAGTTGGACCGGGCCCAACAACTTAAGTTCGTTAGTCTTTATTTGCTCATTTCTCATAACTTAAATGATTGGAAAATCATAACGATTATATTTTCGGAATCATTAAAACGTCCTCGTCATTACGAATGCCAATTCTCGATTTCCAATTTCTAAAAGTGGAAACCCTAATTCAATGGACCTTTTAAATTTGGAAACTTCACAATTTAGAAAGTTCACTAACATGTTCGCCTAGTTCTTTTCCTTTTCTTATTCTCATTCATAATTCCAAATTACAAATGTTGGACTCAATCATATCGACTTCCAGTTATGCAAAGATTAAACATTTTTACCTTTGACCGTTTATTCAAAGAACTTGAGTGCACGAGTAGTGTTTCTCTCGATGGTTGAGGTGTAATCTAGCCGTGGGTCCACAACTCTTTGTGGTTTAAACTCGTCCCTAGAGTTACAATTAAGATGAATCTCATTTCAACTTAATCACCCAACGAATCAAGATTGACATCTAGCAACTACGCGTCATGATTCCCTAAATACAAATGAAATGCCTGCAAGAACCTTATGATATAGTTAACGTACAGCACGATCCCTTCGATTCATATGTCCCGATTGAACTAGAGGCATTGGTTCATCGAGACCTCCTTTGTAGTTCAATAATTTTGCGATCGTTATAAGTGTTGTAATCGGTACGTGCATGCTTAGAGAATCGAATTCTCTAATCATCACTTAGTCAGCTCTGGCCAGAGACTTAAAGATTACAAACTATGAGAACACACAGGATATCCATGACTACTCAAGCGATCGAATCTCCAACTACAATGCACAGACCTCCCACTAGATTTCGGACTGTACGAACACTTTCCCTTGGGGCGGTCCTCGGTGGATCTCCGGGACAGGTCACGATACAGTTGGTCTTCTAGTGAAGTCACGGTGATGCTAGGTCTTAAGGACTAATGGTGTACAACTATACCATAGAGATCTCTACTCGACTATTGAAAACCACTTAGAGATTTCTAGGGTGAGAGAGTTCAGTGAACTCGTCAACTTACGAGCACCCACTTATGCATGCCGATATCACAATACCGTTTACTGATGAGACACATCACACATACACTAAGAGTTGGGAATCGGACACGTGTACACAGCGGAAAACAAAAAAATTATGCGATTTAAATAAATTTAAAACACATAAATACATGCCCGATAATTGAAAAAAATTAATTGCATACCTTTGCGCTTCCAGCGAAAATAAAAACAACATACATGCTTAATTACTTAATCGAAATTAAATCAACTAGCATGCTCGCGTTTAAATCAAATAATCATGCTCGCAGTAAATAAACAATTTCATGTAGTCACATAAAATCATACAATTATCTTACTAATACGAACATGCATATATTAATTTAAACGTAACCGAATCAAACGACAATAGATTCGAAACTTTACCTCTTGAAGCGTGAGATAGGCGCACTAAGCAAAGCTAGATTGCCGCGGAAACCAATCCGTGCAATCCGGGGCAGCAACGGCGATGCAGCAGCGGCGATGATCCGAGCTACGGCGGTGCGTGTGATTCATGCGCTGTCTTCGGGCGGCGCGTGGAGGCGCGTGCGTCGTCGGCTCGGTGGCTGCTCCTCGATTCTTCTATTCTTCGATTTTCCTCCTCTCGGATTTTACCTCGTATACTTTGATCTACAAGAACGTGGCACTAGACACGAAGTAGTTAGAATAAAACGGAACGAAACGAAAAGAGAAAAGAGCTACCAAAAGGATCGGCCAACGGATGGCCGATTCCGGCGAGATGGTGGCGACGGCGGCGGTGGTGGCCGCGGGTTGAGATCGGCCGAGAGAGGTGAGAGCAGGCTATTATTTAGTTCGTGTGTTGTGTGTTGTGCAAGACCTATAACTAGTGTCTTTCATAAAACCCTAACGGGCTTAAGTTGGACCGGGCCCAACAGCTTAAGTTCGTTAGTTCTCTTACTTGCTCGTCTCTCTCAATTCGATGATCGGAAAATTGTAACAATTACATTTTCGGAATCATTATAATGTCCTCGTCATTACGAGTGCCAATTCTCAATTTCCAACTTTCTAAAAGTGGAAACCCTTATTCAGTACACTTTCTAAATTTGGAAACTTCCCGATTTAGAAAGTCCACTAAGATCTTCGCCTATTCTTTTCCTTTTCTTATTCTCATTCATAATTCCAAATTACGTTTGTTGGACCCAATCATATTGACTTCCAATCATGCAAAGATAAACCATTTTTATCTTTGATCGTTTATTCAAAGATCTCATGTGCACGAGCAGTGTGACCCTCGATGGTTCAGGTGTAAGCTAGCCGTGGGCCCACAACCCTTTGTGGTCAAAACTCGTCCCTTAGAGTTGCGATTAAGATGAAGCTCGTTTCACCTCAATCACCCAACGAATCAAGATTGGCGTCTAGCAACTACGCGTCATGATTCCCTAGATACAAATGAAGTGCCTGCAATAACCATTTGATATAGTTAGCGTACAGTACGATCCCTTCGATTCATATGTCCCGATTGAACTAGAGGCATTGGTTCATCGAGACCTCCTTAGTAGTTCAACGACTGTGCGATCGTTCTAAGTGTTGTAATCGTTACGTGCATGACTTAGAGAATCGAATTCTCTAATCATCACTTAGTCAGCTCTGGCCAGAGACTTAGAGAGATTACAAACTATAAGAACACACAGGACATCGAAGACTATTCTAGCGATCGAATCCCCGACTACAATGCACATACCTCCCACTAGATTTCGGACTACACGAACACTGGCCCTTGGGACTCAGGGACAGGTCACGATACAACTGGTCCTCTAGTGAAGTCACGGTGATGTCTAGGTCATAAGGAATAATGTTGTACAACTATACAACATATATCTCTACTCGATTATTGGGAACCACTTAGATATTTCTAGGGTGAGGGAGTTCAGTGAACTCGTCAACTTACGAGAACCCACTTATGCATGCCGATATCACAATACCGTTTACTGGTGAGATGCAGTACACATACACTTAGTGCTAGTCTCTTAATGGGAAAGGCCGATATCCTCATTGGTGGCGTAACCCTTCGACTAGGAACACGTTTAACAGTTTTAATACTTAAGTAAATATCTCACGATCCTAACGATCAATTACTAGTACTTGTAATAACTGTAAGGACTATATCTATGCTTGTGACAAAGGGACAAAGATATAGAATGCCAAGGTATTTTATCATTAATACGAAAAAAAGGTTCGTTTACTACCATAATAAATATGAAAGACCACAGCCGCAAGTTGGCTTGTTGGTCACCTACTCTAACACTAAGTGCTAGTCTCTTAATGTGAGAGGTCGATATCCTCATTGGTGGTGTAACCCTTCAACTAGAAACACGGTTTAACAGTTATATTACTTAAGTAAATATCTCACAATCCTAAAAGATCAATTACAAGTAATTGTAATAACTGTAAGGACTATATCTATGTTTGAACAAGGGACAAAGCTATAGAATGCCAAGGTGTTTTATCATTAAAACAAAAAATAATTATTTACTACAAGAATCAATGGAAAGACCACAACCACAAGTTGGCTTGTTGGTCACATACTCTAACAAAACGAACCAGAGGCGTTTTAAAAGGGTCCAACACAACATAATTCTCACAATTCCAACTCCTCCCCTTCTCTCCTA